ATGGGGAAAAAATCCCTCAATTACCCACATCTTGAAAATTTATCCCACAAAATGCCCTAAGAACTTAAACATACCCATGTTTCAGTAGTAAAGAAGTAAAATTCATATAAAATAATAATAATAGTTTGGCGCTTACACATACATATGTGCTTTTCCTCCAATTTGTGGCGGTCCCCTTGATGTTGTCACACAAAGGGGAGGGACCTACAGTTTTACGCCTGCACTTATGTGTACACTTCATATGTAGTAGGTAAGAAAAATGTGCATTAAAAAATAACGAAAGGGCAAGTAACTCAAAGTCATTTCACAATTTTCAAAATTTTCGGTTTATCGCGTATAGTTTTGAAGTATTTTATTTTAAGAACTTTTTAAGTATGTATTATATATTCTACAAACAATTACGAATAATTTGATACCTTAGCAAGAGGTGTGCTTTCAGAATAAACCAACTTTTAAATATAAAATTTTTCTGCGATCTTGAGCGTAATTTTTATTCCAAAAACATCTTAATTGAAGGCACATTTGGAAAATATGTACGTCGAAACGATCTAAATATTTTTATAACTTCTAGTCCTTATAATGTTGCATATACCCGTAAAATGCTTCAAAAAAATGTTCTCTAGAAGTGTGTTAAAACCCTGATTTAGTACTTCTAATTATGCTCCTTCTTGTAGTCAGAATATTTCGAGGGTGGTATCAAATCAAATTTTTTTCGACAAAGGTTCAGATAGTTGCTCTTACTTAACTGGAGCCTTCTTAGTTTAATGGTNAGACATTCTCTGTTAAAAAGCCCACGAAAATGGGGAAAAAATCCCTCAATTACCCACATCTTGAAAATTTATCCCACAAAATGCCCTAAGAACTTAAACATACCCATGTTTCAGTAGTAAAGAAGTAAAATTCATATAAAATAATAATAATAGTTTGGCGCTTACACATACATATGTGCTTTTCCTCCAATTTGTGGCGGTCCCCTTGATGTTGTCACACAAAGGGGAGGGACCTACAGTTTTACGCCTGCACTTATGTGTACACTTCATATGTAGTAGGTAAGAAAAATGTGCATTAAAAAATAACGAAAGGGCAAGTAACTCAAAGTCATTTCACAATTTTCAAAATTTTCGGTTTATCGCGTATAGTTTTGAAGTATTTTATTTTAAGAACTTTTTAAGTATGTATTATATATTCTACAAACAATTACGAATAATTTGATACCTTAGCAAGAGGTGTGCTTTCAGAATAAACCAACTTTTAAATATAAAATTTTTCTGCGATCTTGAGCGTAATTTTTATTCCAAAAACATCTTAATTGAAGGCACATTTGGAAAATATGTACGTCGAAACGATCTAAATATTTTTATAACTTCTAGTCCTTATAATGTTGCATATACCCGTAAAATGCTTCAAAAAAATGTTCTCTAGAAGTGTGTTAAAACCCTGATTTAGTACTTCTAATTATGCTCCTTCTTGTAGTCAGAATATTTCGAGGGTGGTATCAAATCAAATTTTTTTCGACAAAGGTTCAGATAGTTGCTCTTACTTAACTGGAGCCTTCTTAGTTTAATGGTGTCCCCAGTTTTGTCCGATTGTCTCCACTTTTGGAGATAGCGGTACTTGAAACTTTGCTTAAATTGGAAAATATTTTACTAAAATTTTGCACACGCTCGTATTTTAATATTTCCTTCACTATGACATAAAGTCATTGAAATCGGTTCACTCTAAAATCTAGCTCCCATACAACTGATGGTCCAGAGACGTTGTTTTGCGTTATAACTCCTCCAATTAAGCAGGTCAAAATTTAGTATAGGTTGACTTTAACATATAGCACGCATACAATTTATTATTCAGATATGAAGTTAGATTTATAGCGCAAAAACACATATCTGAGTAATCAGTTGTATTGGAGCTATATGTGCACCCATTTCGATAATTTTAAGGAATAATTAAGGTAATATTAAAAAATGGTTATGTGCAAAGTTTTAGTAAAATAACTTCAAAACTGAGGGAGTTATTTATAAATTAGTTAATATTTAATAAAATTTTCAAGTACCGTTATCTCGACAACTGGAGACAATCTGGTAAAACGGGGGATGCCATTGAACTTAGAACGCCCCCATTAAGTGAGTTCCACTTTCAAAATCTTTGCTCAAAACTTACAACTTGAACAACGTAATTTGAACCCAGTTTATTCTTTTGTCNTGTACCATTAATACGATGAAGCGGCCCCAAACCAGAAGCGGAAAAGCATCTCCAGACCATAACATAGCCACTATGTTTGACTGGNGAGATTACGAATAAAATGATATATAAAACATATGTGTGCTCACAAGTTTAAAAATAAATTTTTTTTTTGGAGAGTGTACCTATTTTTTAGATTTGCCATATGCATATACTTATATACATATACAAGGGCATAGTTATTTACTGAAAAGTAGCGCAGAATGAGCAAAAATTTTGCAGCAATAATCAACTTATAACTTAGCATTGGTTTTACTACGACCTTGCAAAGACGGAACAATTTTACTTGTGAGCCTTTTTAGCCTCAAGTATGTACAGTATCGGACAAAACATTTGCAACTGAAATATAATAATGCGAATACTGCCGATTACAAAGCAGTTACATGCCTGAAACCTTTTCATATTATTTTATTTGAAACAATGGAAGTTTATATATATTATATATAAGTTTTTTAAACAAAAACGATTATTCAAATTTCGCACTTATTTTCTTAAATGTCAATAAAAAAATGCTACACCAAAAAATTGCAACCCAAAGAAAGCGGTACATTATTTTGAGTAAGATAAAAGAAAAACTTAATTTATTCTGGAACGAATTTCCGTCATCCTTTGTAAAGTTTGGATGACGGAAATTCGTTCCAAAATAAATCATCTTACCTCCCTGTCGGAAAAATCAACCAACACCGAAAAACTTAATATTTCGTGGCAAATCCATGGCTATAAATAACTGCCTTGCACCGCCTCGGCATTGACGCTATCAAGTTATCGTCTGTTATGGTCTGAGGTATATTTTTCCACGCATCTAGGACTCTTTGGAAAAATTGGTCAGCATTTGCTACATTACTGCGATCAATCCCCTTTTTCATATACACATAAGTTTTCTATAGGGTTAAGGTCTGAGGATTTCGGGGGCCACTCCATTGCGTCCACTTTATTCCTCGAACCACGATTTTAGGACCTTTGCCGTATGCTTGGGGTCATTGTCCTGTTGGCAGACCCACTTTAGTGACATTTCCCACTCGGCAAGTGGCAGCATTACAGATTCCATAATGTCTCTGTAAACATACTTATCCACTGTACCATTAATACGATGAAGCGGCCCCAAACCAGAAGCGGAAAAGCATCTCCAGACCATAACATAGCCACTATGTTTGACTGGTTTGACACAGTATGATTTTTGAAGACGTTTGTTTCGTGGACGTCGAATGTAGCACACACCATCACCTACCAGATCAAATTTAGACTCGTCGCTGAAAAGTACAGTTTTCCACTTGCTTACCGGCCAGTTTATGTGATCAGTAGCGAACTGCAATCGTTTTTGCTGATTACATGTACTAATAAGTGGTTTCCTTGCGGGTCGGCAAGTACGCAAATCTGCGGCAGCCAGGCGACTAGTGACAGTTCTTGAAGAGATTGGTAGCCCAAGCTCTTTTACCAATTGTGGAGCACTTTTAAACGGAAATTTCTTTACATCTCTCACAATCGCAATGTCAGTTTTATGGTCAGTTTTTTTTGGTCGGCCTCCACGATGTATTACTGCGGCTGTTTTGTTTTTCATAAAGTTCGAAATAATTCGCGAAGCTGATGATTTATGAATATTAAATTTTATGGAAATGTCTTTCTGAGAAGTTCCGTTATTATAAACTTCAATAACACGCGCGCGTAGTGCTTCACAGAATTTGTTTGGAGCCATAATTTACTTTATGATATTTCGCAAATAAACGGTGTTGTCGCAAGAAATATCTCTGCACATATGATACTCAGCAAATGTCTCGATCAAAGTTAACTAAGTACAGTTATAAAACGAAACAAAGTTTAAGCATTTTTACCGTTATACAGCTAAGCAAACCAAGTTGCAATTGTTTTGTCGCACAGTCGCCAAACATGTACAAATTTTTCTTAAATAGAACCGAAGTAGAAAAAATATCTAGCTTCCAAAACAAGCAACAAAAACTATTTGAGAAAAAAATGGCTTTGTGAGACACAAAATATCGAAGACTTTGCTCCAGTTGCAAATGTTTTGTCCGACACTGTATATGCAATATTGCAGCAGCTTTCTACCTACCTTTTGTTTATTTTCCACTAATAACACTGTAGGTAAATTTTAAGGTTTTAAAATAGCATAGCTAAACGGCCAAACACGTAAACTTAATTTTGGCCTCCAGATTACGATGGTGTTTTCAGAAAATCCGTATCACGTCAAAATTTTGGGATATTTAGGGGGGAAATTTTAGAGTTCTGAAAGTGAATTTTTCGTCGTTTAAAATAGTGATGGGCGAGTCCGAGATGTTTAAACGATCGAGAGAATCGCTATCGATGCAAAATTACAATCGAGTCAATAATCGACTCGCTGCCCGACTGTACAATCGAGATGTTTTTCGATTGTTTCGAGTCGACTGACTTATCACTGACGAGATCGTGTGAACCAGGGGAGCCAATTCGTGGGGAATTCTCCGATTTGCTGGGAATTTCAGTTTACGTGGGGAATCGGGGAATGGACCGTTTTTTGTGGGGAATTTCAGCTCCTTCAATTTTAGCATAATAAAGTTTTAAATGGCCAAAAATTACTGTTGATTTTTTTTTGAATTTTTCTTGTCGCATTTGCTTTCATATAACGAATAAACATAATTTACTTGTAGATGGAAGAAAACCGCAACCACTTCAGCAAAAAATCCTAAAACATAAGTACATAACGTCGTTCCCAAGAAAATGCAAAACCTCGTATGAGAGGTTACCAAAATTCCCAAAGGCTAGTCTGTTGAGAACATGGGCATAAATCTGATAGATTTGTAGACGAGGGACAGCTGCGCGCGTTTGCTTTTTAAATTTTGTATTTTTCAAATTTGAAGATGGATTACCTACCAAATGAATTGTAAACCTTTTTAGAATATGTACTCCTTATCTTTGCAACCTTGAACATATTAACTTGTATATCGTAAATTTGGGTGGCGTGTTTTTCCGATTTTTGAATTGTAAAGCGACGGTACGGGGAGACTCGAGCGCGCCAGCCTAAGTTTTTTAGTCTTCTACTGACCGCCACCGCTTTCACATCGTTAACTTTCAAATCCGCCCCTCTGGCACCTTGAATTAGAATTTTCATTGTAATCAAACATATTGGATAATAAACACTTGAGATTCATAGATTGTAAAGCAAATTATATCTCTTTTCGTTACGCATTTACATGCATACGTTTTATGCAAGTGCACTCTGCACGTACGCAACAAGTGGACGTAAGTACTCGAACATTGTCCTTACGATCCGTTCGAAGGAATCGGCAACCCTCTACTTAGAGTACAAACACGTTCACTGAACGCACCCTTCTCATCAACCGAAAACTCTATTCGGTCAGCTCTTGTCAGTTTTAAATCATAAGCGGTTGGCGGCGGTCGTGTAAACTAAGTGCGGTCGGTCAAGTTTAGTGTGCAAAAGAAGTTGAAAATTGTGCGCATACATATACACAAAATAAATCTGTGCAAAAAAAAAAAAAAAACTAAACATCAAACAATACAAATTAAAACGAAACAAAAAGCGTGCCGATTAAAAACTAAATATAAAGTGTGGAAATAAAAATATAAAAAATATTGGTTGAAAGTGAAAAAAAGCACCCAGTGAGAAATTAAAGTCGCACGAGACAAGCTAAAAAAAAAAAAAGAAAAAAGGAACATGAGCATCCTTACAAACAAATATTAGTGACGCAACAACAAACCAACTGCAAAGGCAAAAAAAAAAAAAAAAATTTTAGTGCTAGCAGTGATACCTGCACCGCGCCCCCATTTAAAGCGCTAGCAGTGATACCTGCGCCCCCACATTTAAAGCGCTAGCAGTGATACCTGCGCCCATGATAAAAATATAGCAAGGTAGAACCGTTCTCTCAATTTGTCGGCCATGATTTTTTTTGAAGTTTGCCAACATTTTAAAATCATATAAAAGCGAAAATAAAAAAATGAAATTATTCGAAATTGTTGTTGCTTGAGATTGAAAATGAAAATGTGTGTGTGAGTTGTGAGTAAATTTAAAAATTAAATTGTTTGGAAACGTCAAGAATTTTAAAAGTGACTCTCAGCGGTTCTACCTTACTATATTTTTATCATGCCTGCGCCCCCAAATTTAAAGCGCTAGCAGTGATACCTGCGCCCCCAAATTTAAAGCGCTAGCAGCTATACCTGCGCCTCAATCCCACACTTAAAAAAAAAAAAATATATGCTTACTTTATATACAAATATACTCAACTTAAATGAAAAATGATATACATAGTTAAGCATATGTTATTAATGTGAACACGCTATTAACGAAAAAGAGCCACATGGCATAAAAACAAAAAAAAAAGCGAAAGTGAAAAAAAAAATATACATATTAATATAAAAAAAAAAAGTTCGCAATTTCTCACGAGGCGTCTTGGCAAGCGGCAGCAACATCAACGGAGGATAACGGCAGCAGCATCACCGGCGCAGCACAGCAAAACACCGGCGCGGCACAGCACAAAAGGCAAAACAATTGCGGTACAGTTGGACATAGTCACAGGTGGTATCAGAGAAACCCGTAAGTGCGCACATATTATTATATACATACGTATGCAACTTTTATAGCGGTTTCCCGTACGGTGAATTAAAGTTGTCGAACCTTTAATTTACCGTAATTGAAATAACTGTCTCGATACAGACATACATATATACCGAAATATATGTATGTACATATATACTCACAATCCCCGCGCGTTAAAAATTTTCCCTATCCAAAAACCGCTATAAAAATATACATACGTAGCACATTGTATATGCAAATGTATATATAAACTCTTGTATTAACCGCCCATATTTTGATGTATATAAGTCCCGAATTTCCAAACGGGCATTTTCCATTTTTCCACGTACGCTGTACCCTAACACATAATTGTTTGCACGCCTGTGTGCACATATATATATTCACTTGCCTTCTCCAACTCCTAAATCTACTTGTAAACGAAGAACTAGCGCGCAGAACACAACCGCATATACACACAGTCCCCTTTGGCGCATACTGTACATGTACATATGTACATACATATGTACGCACGCTTTTGCTCATACCCTTATAAAATCGCCAAAAATCCGAAGCGGTAAATAATTCGCGCGCAACATATGTATGTAAATACGTTTCAGCATTTGTGCAATCTCACTTAATGCGTACATATCTACCCTATCCCTGTACCACTCAGCTAAGTGCCGCTATTTTTCAGCAGTGAACAAAAACGCTTGCGACATATATAGATACCGAAGTAAGTACACATTAGTGTGCGGCTATATAAAAAGGAAAAAGTTTAAATAAATAAATATAAAAAGAAGCGTTTCCCAGTCTCCTTCAAGATTTTTATAAAATATATAGACCTTTCGGCCCTCACACATAAATTTATAAATATATATCCAAATATATATAGAGGTAGATACATGCATTTGAACCCAACTTGTTCGGTTTTTTATCGCAAACAAAATTGACCCATACTAATATTAGCGTAGTCAAGTGCGACATACGTACGTATATATAAATACGTGGTTGGTTGCTTACCCCTTTTCGACCGTTAACAGCACTTCGAATATATTTCGGTTACCGCGCACTCATATTGCACATACTTATATGTACATATAGAAAACCGCCGAGGTACGTACATACATACCAACGCGTACACAAATAGGCTCCACCCTTTTTTTCGCTCTTGCGCTGCACACAAAAATCACTGTTACTGGACTTAGACGCGCTAAGACAGTACAGTGTAGCAAAAAGCAACTGACTCACGGTGGGACAAAACCAGTACCCACACAAAATAAAAAATTATAATCAAAGAATTATTTTAAATCAATTTTAAATATAATTAAACTGGACTCAAACCCCTTAATATTGTAACGAGGTACAGTTTATATAATTAACCCAACCCAAATTACCCATCTCAAACACCATAGAAAAGAAATCAATAACTGCTACTGATAATGATTCAGAGGCAAGCCTCCAAGCCTCCATATTTGAAAGCAATAGATTAGAGTCCTTTTACTCTACATGGTCAGTAACTCTTATAGCTGACCAAACAGAATCCCTATTGAAGGTCAAGATCCAGCAACTGGACAGATTGTGGGAATCGCTCGTTGCATCCTTTAGAGCAGTATCCCTTNAATACTAGATGCTCTGCAGCTTTTAGCACCACCTCCACAACCCAGAAACCCCCCAAACACTTCAAGCGCCCCTGAAGTTTTTCTCAAAGTACCACCATGTGACACCGAAATCTTCCATGGTGGGTAAGAAGACTGGCCGGCCTTTAGGGATATGTTCACGGCAGTCTATGGAAATCACCCCAAGCTAACACCAGCTCAGAAACTCTACCATTTTCGCCAAAAAACGCGAGGCCAGGCAGGGCAATTGGTTAAGCAATACCCGCTGACTGACGAAAGCTTTCAATTACCCTGGGAGGCACTGAAAGTGCGGTATGAAAACCGCAGAATATTGGTGGATAACCAAATTAAAACCCGCTTCAATCTCCAATCGATTTACTCAGAGAACGGTGAGCAGATTGAAAAACTCCAAACTACGATAACAACTGTTTGTCCACTTTGGCAGCACAAGGAATCCCAACCTCTGACTGGGACCCCATCCTTGTCTATATTTTCTCTTCGAAACTGCCCTGTGAAACCCTTTCTTTGTGGGAACAGTCGCTGAGTTCTCGAAAATAACTGCCGCTGTGGGCAGATATGAATGAGTTTTTAACAACTCGGTATGAAGTCGTGGAAAGACTCAGCACTTATCGCCCAGGTAAAACAAGAACGCCTCAACCAAACTTCCCCCCCAGAGCTATTAATCAAAACTCACACCCTTTTAATAAACCGAAAACCCACAACTTTCACACGGAACTAAATCAGCAGGTATCATGTAAATTATGCAACCAAAACCATCCAATGAAAACCTGCGTGAAGTTTAAAGCCCTGTCCGTAACTGAGCGACTCAAGTTCGTAAGAGAAAATAAATATTGTGAGAATTGCCTCTCATATTCCCACTTCAATAGTGATTGTCAGAGCAAGTTCTTATGCGTATATTGCCAAAAGAGACATCACTCCCTTCTCGATTTCCAACCACAATCCCAATCAACTAGGGCCAACCCAAAACCTCAAAGAACCCAAGCGCAAATGTCGACTCAAAGTCGGATAGACCATGAACAGCCTTCGACATCTGAGCAGGCTGCTAAAAATGCACTTACCAAACACCCACCTGACAGCAATGTCCAAAAGGTCTCTTCGCATTTTTCCAGTAGCAGCGCAACAACCCTACTCCCCACGGCAATAGTTCCCATTTACTTTGAAGGAGAGTATCATAAAATTCGTGCTTTAGTCGATCAAGGATCACAGAAGACCTTTGTAGCGTCACGAATTCAAAAACTCCTTGGCCTACCCACAAGAGAAACTCACTACCAAATCTCTGGAATGGGAGGAATGGTAGTACAGAATTCGAACAAAATTTGCGAGATAACGCTATGTTCATTGGATTTAGGCCAGAAGATCACAACTTGTGCCATTCTCCCACAGCTTACCCACTTTCTGCCCACATCTAAAGTGTCCAATGTCAACATAGACGAATTACACTCCCTCCAACTTGCTGACCCTAACTGCTTTATACCATCGAAGATTGACATGGTGATAGGAAGTGATATAACTCCCCAAATACTCCTGGATGGGCTACAACGTAACATCGACGGCACCTTAGTAGCCCAAAACACAATATTCGGTTGGATACTCAGTGATCCAGTAAGAGAACATATCTCGACGTTCTCCACCCACGTCACAGAGGCAACGGAGCCCGAACTCAGCACGCTGATCAAAAGGTTTTGGGAGCAAGAGGAGATAGAAACCGCTCAACCCAAATCAGCAGAAGACGAATTCTGTGAGGAACTCTACAGGACCACGACCGCCAGACGAGAGGATGGACGCTACGTGGTGAAACTCCCCTTCAAACCCGAATTCCCGGACGCCCTTGCCTTAGGCCACTCCCGCCCAGCAGCTCAGCAGCAATATATAAGCATAGAGGACTCTGGATAAAAAGCCGGGACTGCGCGAAAAGTACTCANATTCTGTGAGGAACTCTACAGGACCACGACCGCCAGACGAGAGGATGGACCCTACGTGGTGAAACTCCCCTTCAAACCCGAATTCCCGGACGCCCTTGCCTTAGGCCACTCCCGCCCAGCAGCTCAGCAGCAATATATAAGCATAGAGGACTCTGGATAAAAAGCCGGGACTGCGCGAAAAGTACTCAGAAGTACTAAACGAGTACTTGCACATGAGGCACATGGAACACGCTTCACCCCTTGAAATAATAAAAGACGGGAAATATTTTTCATTTTACTTACCCCATCATGCTGTCTTGAAGCCCGACAGTAAAACGACAAATGTGCGTGTCGTCTTTAACGCATCTAAGACATCACATTCAGGAAACTCCCTGAATGACGTTCTTTATACAGGCCCAATACTCCAAAACGACTTAACGGCCATTATCCTTAAATGGCGTCTTTATAAATTCGTTTTCAATGGCGACATAGAGAAAATGTATCGCCAAATACTCGTCCATAAAGAAGATCAAAATTTCCAAAGGATTCTCTTTAGGAAAGCCCCTCACCTGCCAATCGAAGATTTTAAGTTAAAAAGCGTTACTTTCGGTGTTAACTGCGCCCCATATCTTGCAATTCGCACGCTCCACCAGTTAGCTCACGATTGCCAAGAAAAATTCCCCCGCGCCAAAAACATCATACTACATGAAACATATGTAGATGATGTACTCTCTGGCGGACACAATATACAGTCCACTATCACCTCTATGACCCAAACTATAGAAGCTCTAAAATCGGCAGGCTTTCCGCTGAGAAAAATTACAGCAAATCACCCAAAAATCCTTGAATTAATCCCAGATACCGATGTCTTAGATACTGAGTTTCTCAAATTCCAAGACACAAGCTCAACTAAAACGCTTCGAATAAGATGGAACGCACTGACTGACTCCTTCTCGTACTCTTGCGACCCTTTACCCGCATCTAAGTCGAACACAAAACGACAAATACTGTCGGCCGTAGCGAGACTGTTCGACCCGGCAGGATGGCTATCACCAATAATGATACTCGCCAAAATCCTCCTCCAACAATTGTGGTTGGAGGGAACGGACTGGGACGAGCACGTGAAGCCTACGTCTTTCCACAAGTGGAACAATTTCCGCGAAGACCTCCAGGCAATAAGCGCCATCAGCATACCGCGTTGGGTGCGCTTCTCGTCCGAAAAACGCATACACATACATGGTTTCTCAGACGCTTCTGAAAAGGCATTCTGTGCTTGCGTTTACATCAAAGTGCAACACGAAGAAAACTCCTTCTCGACTCACCTTTTTGTTGCCAAAACCAAAGTTGCACCGCTGCAAACGATAAGTTTGCCACGTTTAGAACTTTGTGGCGCTGTGTTGCTGTCGAAGTTAATTGCTGTTACCC